AATAAATTATCACGAAAAGTAACTGATATGTTATTCAAGGTGCCAGTTCAAAGTGAACATACGTAAAGTGTATATTATCTAAATTTAGTAATAATATATTACCATGAAAAATAACTGTGATATTTTATTCAAGGTGCAAGTTCACATTGAACATACATACATATAAGTAAAACTGATTACAATTTGATTCTAGAAAATAAGTGCGATATGTTATTCTTAGTGCACAAAATATAATAGTCGTTTATAGAGATTTGATTTGAAATTCATACTAGCCCGTACAATGAAAAATAATTGCTCGTAATTCCAGAGTACCAATTTGTTAATTACTCAGAAAAATAACATGGCGGCCTGCTCTCAAAAAACTATGATGTTTCTCGATGTCCATTTAGAAATAATGTCGAAGCTCTTACAGAATAATTACTACAACATTTGAAGTACGAAAAGTATTACATTAGAAGAAGATTAGATTAGAATAAGGATTCAACGTATTTTTAAAAGCTCTACACACAACGAAGTGAATATACAAAACTATATACAAATACCTTTTTCTTCTGTGTTTCTGAAGAAAATCTTTTAAATAGAAAATAGTGTCTTGCGATCATGAAGAATAGGTTTTAAATAGCAAGGTTTCATTTGACTTATAATTTTCGATATTATTCACTTAATTAATATGTAATTTTTTATTGTATATTACGACAAATAATCAGTAAACTTTTTAAGCGTATAGCTTTATTGTACTTGACCTGAGAACTGTACATTTATAAATTTTACTTAATATACACCCGTTTCGAGCAACAAGGCAAAGTTTTCTGATCAATAACTTACTCCCTGAAAATACGGTATAACACAAATCGGAAGTTGATACGAAAATTCGAAATTTTACTAAAGAAAGATTGGAGGTTTTTAATTTATACAATTTTCACAACTCTTATTTCAATTATTTATTCTACCCATCGAAAGTTTTTTGAGAGCAGGCCGCCATGTTATTTTTCTGAGTAATTAACAAATTGGTACTCTGGAATTACGAGCAATTATTTTTCATTGTACGGGCTAGTATGAATTTCAAATCAAATCTCTATAAACGACTATTATATTTTGTGCACTAAGAATAACATATCGCACTTATTTTCTAGAATCAAATTGTAATCAGTTTTACTTATATGTATGTATGTTCAATGTGAACTTGCACCTTGAATAAAATATCACAGTTATTTTTCATGGTAATATATTATTACTAAATTTAGATAATATACACTTTACGTATGTTCACTTTGAACTGGCACCTTGAATAACATATCAGTTACTTTTCGTGATAATTTATTATTAGATCGTTTAAATTTTTGAGTGCCTTCTTTTGAACATGGCCTGACCTTTTCATTTTTATGATTTTTTTAGGATTGTATTATTTATAAAAATTTTATTGTGTCCTGGAAACGAACGCTAGGTCACAAAATGATTGTATTTTTTTCAATTACCAAGCATACAACAAAGCAGATATAATATTATACATATACACATATTACTTACAGCCATTCTTCTAATGCTTTGTTGCCAGGTATACGTGATATTTATCGCGTCATAGTGAAGTAATTTTCCCGCCATGTCCTGGAAACGAACTCTGATATATTTTTATCAATTACCAGGCATACAATAAAGCAGAAACAATTTTATACATATACACATATTATTTATAGCCATTCCTCCAATGCTTCTTTGCCTGATATACGTGATATTTATCGCGTCATAGTGAACTAATTTTCACTCAATGTCCTGGAAACAAACTTTGATATATTTTTATCAATTATACCAGGCATACAACGAAGCGGGAATAATATTACACATATACACATATTACTTATAGTCATTCCTCCAATTCTTCGTTACCTGATGTGCGTGATATGTATTGCGTCATAGTGCGCAGATTTTCCCGCTGTGTGCTGATATACTCATATTGTTAAGAATTACACAGCTTCGCAGAAGAGAGTTAACTGACATAGCCAGATCGCGTTTTCAAATGTTAATATGTACGAGTTAAATCTTAAAAAAAGGTAAATATCATTTTATTTGGTCTGTGTTCGTTTTCAGGGCACAACCAAATTCTTACAAATAATGTGACATTAAATAATGATATTAAATACTTGAATAAAAAATTCGCTTCCTAATGCATATTTTATGAGATTGCGTCACAGTAAGATAAACTTATTTATTATCGGATACTCTGTATAACGGGTGTGCAAGTCAAAAAACAAATTGAAGCATATCTTACTTTTTGCAGTTTTGTTATGAGTAAGTTACATTTTTTATAAATAAATATGTTTTTATGTCATTTGTTTTCAATATTGGTATGAAAAAGTCTCGCTTAAAACCAAAATAACGTTGGTGCAACCGGGAATAATTATAGCATCTAAAGGACCACGCACAAATCGTAGGGAAAAATGGATATCAGTCGATTTGGTTGAAAATTTAGTATGATGTGTATGACGTCCTGATTCAAAGTTCCAATGGGCACAAGGTTTGTGTGACCAGTTTTCGAGATATGGGGGTCAAATGTTGGAAATATAGTCATTTATTTATTGAATTAGACGCAATCGCTACGGTTAGAATTCACGGATCAAAATGAAAATTAGTCAAAGAGTCCCTTGGGACAGTACCCGATAAAAGAAATTAATAAATATGTGTATATACAGGGTGTCTCTAAAATCTGTCCCCGCCCCTGGATTTTAGAAACGACTGTAAATATGAAAAAACGTTTTAGACGAAAGTTGTAGGGTTCGAAGCGAGACATAAGAAGATACTATTGGTTTGTTCTTAGGCTGCGTTGTTAAGGTCACATAAAGGTCATCGCCATTTTTTTAAATGGAATTACAATAATTGTTTTATGTACGTAAATTCCTTGTAACATTCTGCATAAAAAGTTAGTACATTTATACCCTAGCTATTTTGACGACACCATATGTTCAAAAAACGATTATTATGACACTCCAAAAGTAAATAAAGAAATTCTTCTTTTAAATAGCCATTATCATTCATCGAATATGCAAACAATCAAGATATAATAATTCAGGTTTCTCTGAACAGTTTCATAAACAGTCAAGAAATAATGCTTGCAAACATTTATTCATATGGTAGTTACACGATAGTTATTGCAGAATTGCTATTGCAGAGAAACACCATCAATTCTTTCTAGCAAATATTTCACTTATTTCACAATGCTCTGACATATGTGAGATTTAATTTTCAAAATAGTACAGTACAACATTGTTTATATATATTCTTAATTGTTTACAGGCAGCATACAAGAAACATCGATATGCAATATTATATAAATATATTTTAATCTACATTATTTTAACATCATATTTTAAGATATGCATTATGTGAGATGGTACATACATACATACAATGTAAGCAATTTGTGTAAGCAATTAGGAATTCATCATTAAGAAGGTGAAAGAGGACGAAAGAGGGTGAAAGAGGACAAAAGAGAGTGAAAGAGGGTGAGAAAGAATGAAAGAGGGTTAGAGAGGACGAAAGAGAGTGAAAGAGGACGAAAGAGGGTGAGAGGGAATAAAAGAGGGTGAAAGAAGACGAAACAGGGTGAAAGAGGGTGAAAGACATATTATATATATATATAATCCTGATGACGTCAGCGGACGCGGACAGAGAAGAAGAAGACGACGTTACTTCATTTTTCATAAAAAACGTCACTTTTTGACCGCTTGTATCTCCAGAACGGCTTGACCGATTTTATTTCTTCTTGGCTCAAATTACTCTTGGCGATGCCGCCTTTCAGGTTATATTACGTGCAATTTAAAATTTTTTATATTTTAGTAGTTCTACTCCCCCAAAAGATGGACTTTGATGGTGCAGAATAAGAGACTTGTAGTGTCTTTTTTAAGGTCTTTTAGGGTTTGAACATGGCCGGAGACACTACCGCGTCTCCTGAAAAGAAAGAAAAAGAGAGAGAGAGAGAGAGAGAGAGAGAAAATATAATTATGATATTTAAAATAAAATCGTAGTTAAGATAAAGATTTCTGATAGAAGAGATATTAGATGAAAACGATACATCTAATGCAATTTACTTCTCTGCGCTTGTGTTATTTATGAAATGTGTATTCACAAGATATTACTAGTTGTCAAGTATAATATATGTAATCCTTTTATAAAAAATTATATAAATTATTTAAAATCACTATATTTTACTTACAAACTATCTGTCATTGCTATATAGAATTAATTTTAATATTTTTTTCAATTAAAAAGACAGGAATATAAGTAAACATTTGAGACATTTTGAGATACAAAAATATTGTGGAGCTCTTAAGGAAACGGGAGGGCCCTCTTTTTGTAATATTCCAAGAAATTAATCTTGAAAAATTACGAAAATTTCAATGCAACAGACTCAGTTTTATATATATTATTAGATCAATGCAAAATAATAATGTTACAGAAGTTGTAATTGTATAAAATATTGTTTTAAAAGTTAATCAGAAAAAGCATATAATTGTCTGTTTTAGGACAATTATTTAAATAATTAGTATCAAAATTAATTTTACTGATTTATTTTTTTTTTACAATTTGATGAATATAAATGTTATGTAAAAAGTAGAAGGATAAAACATTAAATATGTATGTTGTGTTCCCGCTTGGAAAAGGGGTTCAATAAGTAACTGCCACGTATACACTAAATTTACAATCGCTTTATTTCCTGTGGTTCGTATAACTCAGCTATCTGTGTGTGTGTTTCTTACGCTGTGCCCGAGAGGATACAAGAGAGCGAATCCGCCGATACGCGTGTATATATACATCGCACATTGTCACCCCCGCCATACCACTTGCTCTCCTATCCTAAACGCGATGTCATGCTTACGCGCTTATTTTGAAAAGACATGTAACTATGTAACACTCTTCCCTCTCTTAAGGAAAAAAAATCATAACCACAAACAAAAAAAAAATCTACATGTATATGTGTTAATGACGTTGTTCTCTTTTTTTTTTATTTATGAACTTGATTCCCCATAACGCGTTGGAACTTTCTTTTCCCGCACTGATCTCCGTGGTGTATTATCCACCTTTATTGGCGCTGGGGTTTCTTTTACCATTCTCGCATTCTTGTCTACATTTACATTTTTCGAATTAATAACAGGTGTTTGATTTACATTTGGGGTTTCGTAGTCGAACATATCGTCGCTCATATTATACGTATCTCTAATTGGACACTCGCCTATTTTCTGAATTTGATTAATGTGTCTTTTCCAACATTTACCATTATCTAAACGAATGATATAATGTGCATGACCGAGTCTTTGTTGCACGTTACCGAAAATCCATTTTTGTTTGCCGTAATAATTCTGGCATTCTACTCGTTCGCCGATATGTACTTCGCGAATCTTATCGTACGGTTTAGTCTCGCAATTATTGCTTGTATCACTTTGTGTTGGCAACAATAAATCTAATCGAGTCCGCAAATTACGCTTTAGCATTTTCTCTGCTGGAGATTCACCCAACGACACATGAGGCAGATTTCTGTAATGTAATAGAATTTGGTACAAAGCTATCTGTAAATCTTCTGTACTTGCCGAAAGACTATTGAATTTTTTTCTTAACATCTGCTTGAAGGTTTGGACAAATCTCTCCGCTCGCCCATTTGTCGCTGGGCGAAATGGTGCTGTAGTTTTGTGTATCACTCCATTACATTTGAGAAAGTTTTTGAATTCACTAGATACAAAATGTCGACCGTTGTCTGACACTACCACCTCCGGTATGCCAAACGTTGAAAAAATTTGTCTACAGCATTTGATCGTTGTATTACTTGTAATATTTTTCGTAATGAGCACCTCTGGCCACTTTGAAAACGCGTCTACTAACACAAAACAGTAATGTCCCATAAAGGGGCCTGCGTAATCAATATGTACTCTTTGGAACGCTCGCTCTGCTGGCTTCCACGTAAGTGTTTGTGTTTTCGGCGGATCGTTTCGAATTAAATTACAATTTTCGCAGTTTCTAGCTACATTCTCTAAATCATTGTCGATACCCGGCCACCAACAATATCTTCTAGCCATTGCCTTCATTTTTATAATGCCGAAGTGTTCCTCATGCAACTCTTGCAAAATTTTCTTTCGTAATTTCCGCGGCACCAAAACTCTACCGTCTCGTAAAATCGCGCCACGTTGGCAACTAAATTCAGCAAGTGGAACATTGAATCTTTCTTTCGGCTTCAGTTCTTTGCCTGATTGTAACGCCCGCGATAACTTTTGTAATTCTGTATCTTTTTCCGTTTCCGCTGCTAATTCTGTAAATGTGACTGGAAAAGATTCTATTAATTTAATTTCGTATTCATCTACTACGTCGTATTCGAAATCGTCCTCTGACTGAATTGGTAACCGCGACAATCCATCTGCATTACTATGTAATTTCGTATTTTTATACTTGATGTTGTAATTGAATGCTTGTAAGAAAATTTTGTAATGTTGCATGCGCATCGCGCTATGTACCGGCAATGATTTGTTTGGTGCTAATATTTGTGTAAGTGGACGGTGGTCTGTGTAAAGTGTAAAACGATTTCCGTATAAATACTGATAGAATTTTTTTATCGCGAAAATAATTGCATACGCTTCTTTATCGATCTGTGCATACTTCTGCTGTGTTCGAGACAACGATTGCGAAGCATACTGGATTACCCGCTCTGATCCATCTGGGTGCTTTTGCGAAAGGACCGCTCCTACTCCGTACATGCTTGCATCACATGCTACGATTAATGGGTGTTTGGGATTGTAATGCGCCAAAACTTTATTACTCGTAAATTCTCTTTTCGCCGCTAAGAAAGCTGCTTCGCACTCCTGTGTCCATCTGAAACTCACAGCTTTGCCGCCCTCTTTTTGTAACAACGTATGTAATGGCGTAAGTATTCCACTTAAGTTTTGAATGAACCGTCCGTAATAATTAATTAATCCTAAAAACGCACGCAATTCCGTTATATTTTTCGGCCGAGGCATTTTCTCAATGGCTTCCATTTTCCTTTTTTCTTTATGAATTCCGTTTTTATCAATGTAATAACCGCAATAATGTATCCCTTCTTTCAAAAATTCGCTTTTCTCCTTATTAATTTGTATATTTAATTTCGCTAAACGTGTAAGTACTTCCTTAAGTCGTTCCAGATGCACTTGGTCGTTCGGACCTGTAATTTTGATATCATCTAAGAAAACAGAGACGCCCGGAATGCCCTTCAGTACAGTTTCGATTTCTTTCTGCCAGATTGCCGGCGCCGAAGCGATCCCGTATAATAAACGCGTACATTTGTATAATCCCCGGTGTGTGTTTAGGGTTAATAACTCTCTATCCGCGGGATGAATTTCCATTTGTAAATAGGCCTGCTTCAAATCTATCTTTGAAAATTTTTGGCCTCCCGATAGAGTACTAAAAAGTTCGTCTACTGTAGGTAACGGATATTCATTTACTAGTAATTGTTTGTTTACCGTCACGCTAAAATCGCCGCAGAGCCTCACCGAATTGTCTTTCTTTAAGACTGGCACGACCGGCGTCGCCCATTCTGCCGCGCTCGTTTCTTGTAAAACTCCTTCTTTAACGAGTCTATCGATCTCCCGATCTACTAAAGGTATTATTTTGAATGGTACTTTCCTTGCTTTAAGAAAAATTGGTTTCGCGTTCTCTTTTAGGATAAGTCGCGCTTGTATTCCTTTGATTTTTGTGCTTGAAGGATCCAATTCGTTTTTGTAATCGCGCAGAATTTTATGTAATTCCGTTCCTGTATTTGAATTTAACGTAAATACTGTGTCGGTCAATTGTACGCCTAACTGACGAATCCACTCCCGTCCCATGAGTGGTTCTCTATCCATGACTGTAATGTACATATTTAATGACTTGATAATTCCTTTGTAACGTACTTGTACTTTTACGTAACCTACAACCGTAATTGTTGTTTTGCAAAATGTAAATAATTTCAAATCTGTGTTCTCTATTTGTGCATCCGGAAACCAACGCTCAAGAAAATATTTACTAACAATTGTAACCGCCGCTCCGCTGTCTATTTCGAAACGCACGTTTTTCTCGTTTATATCTACGGAAATAAAATACCTATCTCTATGCTTAATATGTTCCGTACTCATCCATAAAATGTCGCTTAGTTGATGCGCCTTTGCTCTATTCTTTCTCATGCATACTTTTGCTAAATGGCCTTTAATGCTGCAATTTGAACACACGATTTCTCTATTCAATGTACATTTTGAAGCTAAATGCTTACCTCCGCATCTATAACATGTAACGCTATTTATACCGCTTGTATTATTATAATTTGGAACGTCCTGTATGGCACGCTTTGCTTTCTGGAAAACAGCTGGTCTGTTTACTGTTGGCTTCTTGTGTTGTGACCGTTTGTCCTTCTTCCCCATTGCTGCTTCTTTCTGGCCCACGTAGTCCACGGATGATATTCCCGCTGCCTGAATTTGGTTTACATCCTTCTCCGTCAATTCCATTGAAAGGGCAATTTCGACTGCCTTGTCGAAAGTTATATCCTTTGTCTCCAATAACCTTGCTTGTGTACGCCGGCTTGTAAGCCCGAAAACAAATTGATTCCGCAACGCCGTTTTTAAGTATCCTCCAAAATTACAATTTATGCTCATCTTATGTAATGCTGCTACGTACTGGTGTATGCTCTCTCCGTCGGACTGCTTCCTTTGGTGGAATCGATAATTTTCCGCTATTTCAAGCGGTGCAGGGGCGTAAAAATCCTGCAAATGTGATGCGACTGTGTTGTACGTCTGCGTGTACGGGTCGAGAGGTGCTAACTTGTCGCATAATATATCGAAAGATTTACTTCCGATGAAATGTAGTAGGTACGCCACTTTCTGTGGTTCCGGAACCTTGAACACTGTAACGGCTCCCTCAAAACGTTTTAGCCAACGCTTCCAATTTGTAACGGCAGGATCGAAAGCTTCTATTGCGAAACTTCCATGCACGATTGCTTCAGCCATGGCAGAATCCGCAGTACCGAGTTGTGGTCCGCAAAAAAAAAAAAAAAATACTCGGCACTCACTGTAACACGTACGTGTCCTTCTTTGCAGGGTAATGTACTCTTCTCTCAACTTCCTGTGCGGTATCCCATCCTCGTCGCCAACTGTTGTGTTCCCGCTTGGAAAAGGGGTTCAATAAGTAACTGCCACGTATACACTAAATTTACAATCGCTTTATTTCCTGTGGTTCGTATAACTCAGCTATCTGTGTGTGTGTTTCTTACGCTGTGCCCGAGAGGATACAAGAGAGCGAATCCGCCGATACGCGTGTATATATACATCGCACATTGTCACCCCCGCCATACCACTTGCTCTCCTATCCTAAACGCGATGTCATGCTTACGCGCTTATTTTGAAAAGACATGTAACTATGTAACAATGTAGATAATAGGAATTGTAAAAATATATTTCTATGTATAGTCACAAAAAAGTATTCTTATATATTTGTTTAAAGCAATTTAAAATATATTTAGTAAAATAATAATTGAACAATGAACGTATGAGCATATACATGTATATTATATATATAAAAACACAAACCTAATACATATATGTATAATAGTATGTTGCACTTGTAATCATGAATACATATTATCAATAAAAGAATTAAAATAAATAACTTTACAAGTATTGCTTCTATACATATAATATAAATATATGAAGAAATCAAAATAAAAAACTTGTGTAGCTTTTGCTTTCTTTTTTATAAAATTCTCGCAATGTAACTTAACTTTTAGCTTAACGTGTTATATAATTAATTTCACATATTGCACTTGTAATCATGAATACATATTATCAATAAAAATTATAATAAATAACTACACAGTACTGCTACTCTACATATAATATAAATATGTGAAAAATCAAAATAAATAGCTTGCGCAGTGCAGCTTTTCTAACTTTCTTTTTATAAAATTCTCGCAATGTAACTTAACTTTTAGCTTAATGTGTCATATAATTAATTTCACATATTGCACTTGTAATCATGAATATATATTATCAATAAAAGAATTGTAATAACTACACAGTACTGCTACTGTACATACAATATAAATATATGAAGAAATCAAAATAAATGACTTTGCGCAGTGCAACTTCTCTAACTTCTTTTTTTATAAAATTCTCACAACGTAACTTAATTTTTAGTTCAATGTGATAAAATAATAAAAATTAGGTATTCTACTTATTTTTTGCATTTGCTTAAATACAAGTAATCTACGTATTATTTTTGAATAAAAAATTAAAATATTTCCGATTTGACTAAATAAATATTTTCTGAAAAAATATTTTCATATTCATTTAGTGACGCTTAAATTTGCCAGATATATAGTTATGGATCCACGTTTTAATTTGAGCAACGGATCGATTAAATAAGCACTTATTTTTTTCTTTTATACAGGAAATTTTTTTGTTAGATGGCAGCTGTGAAGTGGTAATTTCTTTTTGAAATTCTTTCAATATTGTATTACGTTCTTCTTCCGTCCAACGTCTTCGTTTTGTTATACCAAATAGAGATGCTACAAAATAAATTAATTATCTATGAATCAGAATAAATATTTCTATATAAAAAGCAATAATTTACTTAAATTTTATTTAAATGTATTTTTATTTAAATTACTAGTAGAATAAAATTACTTTAAAATTCTCTTCAGAGTACTGACAAACTTTCATTAATAAGAAAATATTAAAATTATAACGTCATAATTATAAGAATAAAAAGAAATAGGAATGCAAAAATAAAATAATATAAAATAATATAAAATAATATAAAAAATACAAATAATATAAATAAATATATAACTAAATTAAGCTAATGTGTGTGGAACCTTTATCATTTATCATTATTATTTTTTAATTAAATATTGTTATTATGTACATTAAAATTCTATCAAAAAATGCATTATAAATAAAAGCTTAATATATTAATATACTTTGACATAGTCACATAAAAATATAATACTAAATAATATTTAAAAGAAAATCCACTCTGACTTGATAAGTTTATAAAAACTGAATACAATATGTAAAAATGAGAAAATAAACTTACTACTGCCACGTTTCTTTATCTTTGGGGAATAAGTTTCGTCAGAATCATTGTCATTATTCACTATAGTATGGTTTTGATGCACGATTTTCTTTTTTACAGATTTTTGTTGTTCATCTGTTACGCTAAGAAATTTCGGTAATTTCCTTTCTGTTCGTAATAAAGAAGGCTTACGTGAACTTATCATACATGTTTCGGCATCGTTTTCCGATTCTGCACTCGAAGTATCTTTGTTTGTTTCTTGCATCTCTTCCTCTTCTGTTAATAATAACACAATATTATGATAATTATTATATATGTATATATATATGTAACCAATTCTTGAAACTAAGGGCTAATATATACTACAACCGCGGACGTCGATGCATAAAAATTGAATAAAGCAGAATGAACACAATAATGAAACGTATTCTCAATTTGAATCCATTTCAATGAATATATCATATTCATACTTTGATTTAATAGGTTCCAAACGTAACGTTTCATTGTTGCATTCATTATTACTACTTTTATTTCTACACAGACATCCATGATCGTGGCACACATTAGCCTTAATTTCATAAGTTTTGGTTTATACGGACTTTTGTCTGATTTTTTCTTCTAATTAAATAGATATATTAAGAATGCAGAAAAGTTTAAAAAAGGAATACAATAATTAATATATTTTATACAAAAATTAATATATAAAAAGTACTTGTGGCATATATATAATAAGATAAATAGTGTATATACCTGAATCACTATTATTAGATTGCTGTTGCTCATTTTCATCTAATGCTGCTTCAAGAAATTTCGTCATACGAACTATCTCTACAGCTGCTATTGACTGTCGATAATGGCGTTTATGAATTTTCTCGTGATGTCCCATAAAGTTCGCCAAATCATCCACTTCATTGTCAGATAAATTTAACGTAATGCATGTTGTAGCAATATGTTTACGTAATTCAGTACCTCTTAAAAAATGTGGTATTTGTGCATCACATTTTTTAGAAAAATATCGCATAAGGATACACGCTCTTAAATATTTGAAATGACGTTTGGTACTACTAGGTATGCCAAACACATACGGATTTTTCTCAGGAACATTTGCATCCTTTCGCTGGTTCAAAATTAGTTCAACACATTGAACTAATACCATGTCTAAAATCACAGGCACTGTACGTCCCAATTTTCCACGAATTAAGAATCTTACGTATTTATCAGCAACCTATATACAAAAGTTATATATGGATTATTATTTTGCATCATATACCATATTTGTGTAATTTAATTATAATATTTGTAAACAAATAATATTTATCATAATATTTATAAAAAATTTATCATATTTAATACTTTGTGTAACATCATCTTTCCTCAAAACTTTGGGAATAAAATTTTCTTACTGTCTCAATTGCACATTCATTAATTCTGCCAAAATCAAATCACGTCTAAACAACATTTCATTTCGAATTTCCTACACATTATTTAAAATGATGCCTGATATTATTTTAGTGAACCAACCTTTACACTTTGCGCAACTTATAAAAAAATTAATTCTATATATGTTTAAGAAAAATCCGATTACAATTAAATTCCTTTATTTAGATAGATCCGTATTAATAAAAAATTTTCTATAGACTCTATAAATAGTCTTTCTAAATTAATGTAAATTATTGTATATTAATGTAAATAAATATATTAATGTATATATATTAAATAATAATATTTATAATTTAAACAAATAATTATATTATTAAATATACTATATTAAAAATTTATTGGAAAATAATATTCTTTAAATAATACAAAATTCAGGTGATGAAACCCTATGATCTTTACTCAAAAATTTTACTTCTGAAAAATTTTATTGAAATTTAACCTGATTGTTTTCAAAAAAGTAGAATAAATTTGATAGACAGAAAATGGAACATAGAAAGGTTATCTAAAGAAAATTATGATAGAAGATACTTTATTGCGGAAGAAGAATGTTTTATCATTTCTCAACTGTATCCAAAGCTGAAGGTAAATCATTCATGAAGATATTCTAAGGAAGTACACAAAAGAATTTAAGTCATTAATAACATCATGGAAAATCATATTATCCTAAAAAAATCATAAAAATGAAAAGGTCAGGCCATGTTCAAAAGAAGGTACTCAAAAATTTAAACGATCTAATAATAAATTATCACGAAAAGTAACTGATATGTTATTCAAGGTGCCAGTTCAAAGTGAACATACGTAAAGTGTATATTATCTAAATTTAGTAATAATATATTACCATGAAAAGTAACTGTGATATTTTATTCAAGGTGCAAGTTCACATTGAACATACATACATATAAGTAAAACTGATTACAATTTGATTCTAGAAAATAAGTGCGATATGTTATTCTTAGTGCACAAAATATAATAGTCGTTTATAGAGATTTGATTTGAAATTCATACTAGCCCGTACAATGAAAAATAATTGCTCGTAATTCCAGAGTACCAATTTGTTAATGACTCAGAAAAATAACATGGCGGCCTGCTCTCAAAAAACTATGATGTTTCTCGATGTCCATTTAGAAATAATGTCGAAGCTCTTACAGAATAATTACTACAACATTTGAAGTACGAAAAGTATTACATTAGAAGAAGATTAGATTAGAATAAGGATTCAACGTATTTTTAAAAGCTCTACACACAACGAAGTGAATATACAAAACTATATACAAATACCTTTTTCTTCTGTGTTTCTGAAGAAAATTGTAAGTCAAATGAAACCTTGCTATTCAAAACCTATTCTTCATGCAATCGCAAGACACTATTTTCTATTTTAAAATTGTAATTTAATATATTAGATAATAATATAAATGATTTTATTTATGATAAAAATGATTTATAAATTTTACTTAATACACACCCGTTTCGAGCAACAAGGCAAAGTTTTCTGATC